ATCTATCTATCTATCTATCTATCTATCTGTCTGTCTGTCTATCTATCTGTCTATCTTTCTATCTTTATGTACATAGCTACTTTCATTATGACTCCCCAACATGAATGTGAACTCCTTGAACGCAGGAACTATGTTTTTGCCTTTCTTTGAATATCCAGAATTTGGCACAATGTCTAGCACAGCACTTAGTAGGCACTTCATAAATTCTGGTTTATTGTCTGATTGACTAAGAATCTCTAAGCAAAAAAGAGAAAGATTCCTCTTTAAACTTTGATGGTTCCATGAGGGTACATGAAGCCTTCCCAGATACTCCAGGCCACAATGGCCTGTCATGTCTCTGAATTCAGAGTTCTTATGTGTAGTCTATTAGTCTGCTTATTAACCACGCACTGTCTAGTGATAGCCTTTGCAATGCTGCAAAAGGAGCACTAAGAGTGCTGTAGTGGAAAGAAAACTGGACATGGAGACAGGACACCTGGACTTGAAGCCTGGCTCCAACAATGTCTGACTGTAGGAAAGTCACTTAATCTCTTAGAGCTTCAGTTTCCTTTTCCACTAAATGGAAATAATAATACTCGAAGTATCTACTTCACAGGGTTGTTGTGAACAAAGCATTTTGCAGCTTGCCTTTCCAATGGAGGTAGGGAGGTTGGGGAGGGGAGGGAGGAAGGGAGAGGATTTGGAACTCTAAATTTTAAAAGCATGTTAAAAATTGTTTTTACATGTAACTGGGGAAAAATAAAAAACTAAACAAATACAAAAACCCCCCAAAGCATTTTGCAAACTTGAAAGTGGTTAAAGTGAAATAAACATTAACATTAAAAAAAACAAACAAACATTTCATATAGCATGGTATAGTAGATACTATACCATGGACCTGGAAGGAGGAAGACCTGTATTCAAATCCCATTTCAGACACTGTGCAACCCTGAGCATGTTGTTTAATTTCTATGAGCCTCAGTTTCCTCATAGGTCAAATGGGGATAATCACAATATCAACATCATTGTTATGAGGATCAAATGAGAAAATGTATGTAAAATACTTTGCAAACCTTAAAGTGCTATAAACATGCTTCCATCAACTTATGCTCAATTTGTCTTGCCACTGGGTTAGGAAGCTGGACTCCTCACATGCATAGTGGGAATTTGAAATATATTTTTCCATGGAAATAATACTGCAAATGATGATTAGTTAACATAATATTATTAATAATATAGTTCCTATTACATAAAGGAACGATTGTACACTATCCTGAAAATCTATCTACCTTTTTAATTGTGGCTCACATTTTGTCCCCATCCAGATAATTTTGCTCTCTCTGGGAACATCTGAAAACATGTCACAAACAACAAGCCCCCAGTAACTTTTTTCTTTATAAAAACTTTTGAAAAAATTCTGAGCTAAAAAGATAAAATGAGAGTCATTTATATGTGAATTGATGGTATTTTTAAAATTAATTAATTAATTAATTTTTAGTTTTCAACATTAATTTCTATAAGATTTTGAATTCCAAATTTTCTCCCCATCTCTCCCCTCCCCCACCCCAAGATAGGGTGCATTCTGAATACCACTTCCACTAATCTGCCCTCCCTTCTATCATGTCTACCCCTTCTATTATTCCCTTTCCCTTATATTTTCCTGTAGGGCAGGATAGATTTCTATATCCCATTGCTTGTATAGCTTATTTCCCAATTGCATGTAAAAACAATTTTTAATATTTGTTTTTAAAGCTTTGGGTTCCAAATTCTTTCCCTTCCTTCCTCCCCACCCACCCTCATTGAGATGGGAAGCAACTCAATACAGGTTATACATGTGTAGTCATGCAAAACACTTTCATAGTAGTCATGTTGTAAAAAACTAACTATATTTCCCTTCATCCTATCCCATCCCCTCTTTACTCTATTCTCTCTTTTGACCCTGTCTCTTAGTTGAAGGTATTCTTGATGAAGGTATTAGTATAGAACAAGTAGGTTTTTGAAATTGGCATTCAAATACGGAATGCATTTTTACCATTTTATAGCTCTAGAAGGGACAGGCACATCAATTCATGCAAAAAATTTCTCCCTCAAGGAATTCTTCAATTCTGGTTCCTCTAATGAAAAATGAATGATATAGACGGGGAGGGGGGAACCTGCGGCCTCAGGGCCACATGTGGCCTTCTAGGTCCTCGGGTGGGGCCTTTTGACTGAGTCCAAGTTTTACAGAACACATCCTTTTAAGGGGATTTGTTCTGTGAAGTTTGGATTCAGTCATGTGGCCTTGAGGACACAGGTTCCACATCCCTGATATAGAATCTACATTGTAGATAATATAAGATCCCACTATGTTTTTTGTTTATTGTTTGTGGGGGAAAACCATATGATTTTTAGAACAAAATATTGCCTTAAGGCTTTTTTCCAAGAAAGTGTCATCCATGTACACATTCAAGATTCTTTGAAATATACAACAACAGAAATCATCCTATGCAACAACCCTCTTATCAGAAACATCAGTGAGGCACAAAACAGGGAAATGTACGCTCAATCATAGTGTTTATTGCTGTGATGGAGGAAAACTAGTGTTTTGTCTAGGTCCAAGATGGATTCCTTGTCAATGGTAAGATCCTTCAGATATTTCTGTTTCTGAATTACATTGTGCTGATTATATCAAGCCCTGGAACACTGTCTTCTGGGAGAGATATGTCATTATATGTTAAAATAGTTTTGCTTGACCACCCACACAGGAAAGATCAAGTGAATGAATAGTATCTATTGCCTGATCACAATGTGCATTTGGACGGATTACCTACATAGTAATAATAATAATAATAGCATTTATATAACAATTAAAAGTTTACAAAGTGCTTTACAAATATTATCTCATTTGATCCTCACAACAATTCTGGGAGGTAGATGCTATTATTATTCCCATTTTAAAGAAAGTGGGGGCAGACAGAGGTTAAATGAGTTACCCATGGTCACATAGGTGTGTGATGCTATATTTGAACTTGGGTCTTCCTGATTCCAGGTCCAGGACTATTCATTGTACTACCCAGATGCCAGTAGTGCTCATCCATTGGTATACATCTCTGGGATAGTCAGTAGAGATGGATAATAGGTTGGCCCTATAATACAAAAGGGGAAGAGCATGTTGGATTGCTTTCTGGACATTGCGAAGCTCCTTTACTGACCCCAAGCTTCTTATGAAAGATACGGCCTATATTTTTATTTTTGTTAAAAAAATTTTATTATCACCAGGAAATCATCAACAGATTAACATTTCCATATACAAACAAAACCAAGCAAGAGGGATTGTATGGAAAACTGTGTATCTATTACATACAGCTTTTTCAAAAAAGGATATAAGACCATAAGATCATAGATTTAGGGCCTGTAGGTACTCTAGATTCCCTCCAGTCCAACTCCCTCATTTTACAGATGAGGAAACTGAGGCCCAGAGAAGTTAAATGACTTGCCCAGGGTCACAAGACAGTAAGTATCTGAGGCAAAATTTGAATTCAGATCTTCCTGACTCCCAAGTCTAGTGTGCTATCCTTTGCATTTCTCTTTGTCTTTATTCCCTTCTTTCTGCTCTCTTCTGTATCAATATTAAATGTTTCTTTGTCACTCTTTTCTTTCTGTATTGCTTTACTTTTTCCCCCCTTCCCCATACTCTCCTCCATAAATCAAATTCCTCCCCTGTAAGAAAAGTATAGTCAGTTAAAACAATTTTGTGTCAGTAATGGTCATGTCTGAAAATGTATTCTGCCTTGCAGTCCATCACCTCTCCACCATGCTTCATTATTAATTTTCCAGAATTGTGATTGGTCATTAAATTGATCAGATTTTTTTTTAAGTCTTTCAAAGTTGTTTTCCTTTACAGTGTTTTATAAGTGATGGTACAAATTATATGAATTGTTCTCCTGGTTCTGCTCATTTCACTCTGAATCAGTTCATATATCTTCCCAGGTTGCTCTGAATCCAACCGCTTTCATAATTTCTTATGGCTTAATAATATTCCATTACATTAACATACCAGAGTTTGTTCCAGCATACCCTCCCACCCCAACTTGATAGGCACTCTCTTAGTTTCCAGCTTTTTGTTCAACAAAAGGTGTTCCTGTAAATATTTTTGTACAAATGGGTCTTTTTCTTCTTTGTTTGATTTCTTTGGGGTATCTAATTAGTGGTGCAATGCATCAAAGGGTATGCACAGCTTAGTAATTTTTTTTGAAATTTTTACAAAATTTTATTTGTTTTTAGTTTTCAACATTCACTTCTATAAGATTTTGAATTCTAAAGTTTCTCCCCTTCCCTCCACTCCCCCTTCCCAAGATGGCCTGCAATCTGATATAGGCTATACACGTACAATCACATTAAATATTTTCACATTAGTCATGTTGTGAAGAAGAATTAGAATGAAAGGGGAAAACCATGAGAAAGAAGAAACAAAAAAAGAGAGAAAGAAAATAGTATGCTTCAATCTGCATTCAGACTCCTTAATTCTTTTTCTGGATGTGGACAGCATTTTACATCATAAGTCTTTTGAAATTGTCTTAGATACTTGTGTTGCTGAGAAGAGTTAAGTCTACCAAAATTGGGCGTTGCACAATGTTGCTGTTACTGTGTACAATGTTCTCCTGGTTCTGCTCACTTCACTCAGTTCATGTTAGTCTTTCCAGGTTTTTCTGAAGTCTGCCTGCTCATTATTTCTTATGGAACAATAGTATTCCATTATATTCATATACTGCAACTTGTTCCAGTTTAGTAATTTTTGAAGCAGAGTTTCAAATTGCTTTACAGAATCGTTGGACTCATTCACAGCTCTACCAACAGTGCATTAGCTGTCCTTCAACTCCTCCAACAATTGCCATTTTCCATTTTGGTCATTTTTGGCAATCTGATGTGAGTGAGGTAAAGTCAGAGTTACTTAAATGTTCATTTCTCTCATTATTAGTGATTTGGAGCATTTTTCATCAAAAAATGTCATTTTTCATGTCTTTTTGAACAAAATGTCTTCCATATATGCAATCAAGATTCCTAGTTTCATATTATCCTTGCATAGGGGCTATGCTAATCTTCTTGGTATTCCAATTTTAGTATATGTGCTGCTGAAGTGAGCAAAAGGCCATCTTTTTAATACCAACATCCTTCCACTGTTCCTGTATGGAGGTGAGACAAAGAATTCAACCATCTTTGAAGAATTAAAGATAAATGTCACCCAGAAGGCAATGGAAATGGGCACAGTAGGTATAAGCAGGCTGCAACATATAACTGGTATATAACTATGAGCCAGAGTACTGTGCTGTTATACTTTCACTTTTAGGAGAAATTAAGGAAGACCTTTAGGACATTGAGTAGTGCCCTTACCCCCAGAGAGGGCCCCCACTCCCACTGTCCCATAGCAAATTTATGGGAAGATATGGATGAGAGTTACATGGGATGGCAAATATGAATAGGTTGTGATCTGCACCATTGAGGGAACTTTCAAATGGATGAAATCACAGATACATTTAAATATTCTGAGAATATAGGTATGACCATATCTTTGGTGTTTCCCTACTACCTCTAGGAAGATCTGAATTCAAATCCAGCCTCAGACACTTACTAGCTGTGTGATCCTGGGCGAGTCACTTAACCCCTATTTGTCTCAGTTCTACATCTATAAAATGGGGACACATTGGAGAAGGAAATGGCAAAACCAATATAGTATCTTTGCCCAGAAAACCCCATGGACATTAGGCCAACATTTAAAGTATCTCTTCAATTTGGCTCCTATTGACCTTTCCTAAAGTGTATAGGGTGTTCAGGGAGGACTAGCACTTCTGGTGAGAGGGCTTACGGAGCCCTTTTTAGAGCTGCTTGCTCACCTTTGATGTCCATGGGTCACCCAACTCACTCCTGTGGCTCCAAGAAGCTGTAGCATGCTCAGTGGTCACACCAGCTATCTCGGCAGATGCACTAAACCAGGGTGAGCGTAGCCAACAAGCTTCAAACCTGTTGGTGAGTTAGGGGAATGCCTACCCCAAACATGAGAAGACTTTTCCTAGCCTAATGGATGGACATGAACAATTTGTTCCAATGGCCATGAAGGAGGCTGAAGCACTTAGCATTTAGAGCTTGGTGAGACATGAAAACTGCCAAGGTCATCTACTGCATCTCGAGCTGTTGCCAGGTGTCCTTACTCTTGTCTTGGCCCGGGACATCAGCCACCGGTTGATGATTTGTGCTACTCCGCCTCATTTAAATACAATTTATACTCAAATCAAGACATCACTCATTTGTGATATCATTAGTCCTCTTCAGAAATGAAGGGTGACTTTCTGGTGGTTCCTCCTATTGGTTCTAACTCTTACTTATAACATCACTAATATGAAAATGTTTAATAGGAATATATATGTATAGCTTATATCAGATTGTGCACAATCTTGGGGAGGGTAGTGGGGAGGAAGGGGGAGAAAAATTTTAAACTCAAAAGCCTATGGAAGTGATTGTTGATAAACCAAATTAAATTAATTAAAAAAAATGAAGGGTGAACAGCAATAATAACAACACTGGTCTTTTCAGACATTTCATATTAGTTCACTTAATGTTTTCTACATTTTAACCAAACCAGCCTACTTGGTGTTTCTAGGATTCAATCCATTTCTTGCCTTTGGGCCTTCCCATAGGCTATCCCCACTACCCAAAATGCATTCCTGTTTCATTAAACTAGTAGAATTCCGGCAAGGTTTAACTCAGGTGCCACCTCCTAGAAGACACTATCTCACCCCCTCCCCATTGTCAAACTATTATGAGCATTCTTCTCCTCCTCCAATTATCTTGTATTTACTCAGATTATCTGTAGACCTGCAGTGTCTCTGCTGTAGATGTAAGTCTTTGAGGGCAAGGGCTGATTCATTTTTGCTTTTTCCTCTTTGGTTCCTAGGTATCACGCAGGACAGTTTGGATAAGGAGCAGCAGAGCCATTTAGCGATAGCAGTTAACAAAACTTTATTACTATTAACAAAGAGAGGAGGAATGCTGATGACCACAGGGAATGGTCTCCAGGTGTGGCCTTCATTGTCCCTGTTGGAGTGTAGCACACAGGGAACAGTAGGCTGTCTTCTGGATGTGGAACCTTGTACCAGCTTTTGAACTCTGGTACCAGGGCCCCTCAGGACTCAAATTTACAAAGAGCTTTCCACAAAGGAAGCAAGCACTTATTAAGCTCCTACTATGTGCCAGGCACTGTGCCAAGTGCTTTACAGATATCTTATTTGGTCCTTACAACAACCTTGGGAGGTAGGTGCTATTATTATCTCCATTTTATTGATAAGGAAACTGAGGCAAACAGAGATTAGATGATTTGCTCAGGGTCATACAGCCAATAAGTATTTGAGGCCAGATTTGAGTTTCCTGACTCTATCTACTGTTCCACCTAACTGCTGGCTAGGCACCAATACGAAATTGCTCTACCATCCACAGTGGAAGACAGTACAGTTCAGACCAGTGAAATGCCAGTATTTTTAAAATTTCCTAATTAGAAGTGAGGAATGAGGAACAGTGATATAGGCAACTTAACTCTAACTGTGCCACCTGGCAAGAGGTTTGAGGAGGGGGTGGGTAATGCTCAGTCTCTGAGTTTATTAGCCTTAGATATGCATCCTGGTGTGCTGAAGGCTTCCCAGTCAAACCAATTTTCACCATATGCTCCCTTGTATGTTATCAGAAAGTAACAAATCAGTAAGTAACAAATAACTCCTTCTGAAATGAATTAAATCAAACTTAAAATTTCTATGATTCTAATGATTATTAATATAACTTGGCAATATTTACTTGTGCCTATGTATGTATGTGGCACTTTATCTTTTACAAAACAAAAAAAAAAGACCCTATATTTCTATTTCAATTAAGAAACATTTATTGCAGGTATTTATTGCAACAAATTGTGAGAAATACAGTAAAAGATAAGATATAGATCCAGGCATGTACCAATAAATGTTTAACAACCAGCTCTTCCAATAAAATGTACAGAGGGATACACTTTTAAGTTTAATCAGCATTATTAACATTTTCTCCATCACTCTTTTAAGTTGAGACAATCAATGGACAATAATAAGCCCTGGTTTGTAGCCATTTCTGGAGTATAAATGCTCACACTGAAAATTTAATAATTTTCTTAAACTTCAGCACACATATGTAAATAGTTCCCATTCTGTTGTAGCTGCCTTGGGATTTAGATGATTTCAGAGAAGAGGGATCTAAAAGTCTGCTAAAAATAAATAGTTCTTTTATGATGGTCTGTCTACACTTTACTTCCCTACCTTCCTTTGTTGTTGTCCTCCAGTCTGACTCTACAGGACAAAGATACTGGAGTAGTTTGCCATCTACTTTTCCAGTGTGTCCCCATTTTACAGATGAAAAACCGAGGCAAATAGGGGCTAAGTGACTTGCCCAGGGTTACACAGCTAGTAAGTGTCTGAGGTAGGATTTGAACTCAGATATTCCAGATTGCAGGCCCAGCCACTGCACCACCTGGCTGCCCCTTACTTTTTAATCTCTTGCCATCTGGCTACAACCCTACATCTCAGTGGAAACTGTCTTCTTCCAGGCAACCTACTCCAAGGCAGCTAGGGGGAATAATGGGTAGCCTCCTGGACCTGGACTCAAGAAAACCCGAGTTCAAATCCAGTGTCAGACACTTACTACCTGTAGTGATCCTGGGCCATTCACTTAACATCTGCCTCAGTTTCCTCATCTGTAATGTGGGGATAAAAACAAAACCTACCTTATAGGGTTGTGGTGAGAATATATGAGACAATATTTGTAAAGCCCTTTACAAACTTAAAGTGCTGTATGATGCTAGCTATTATTATTAGTATTATTTCCTAACTGTTAAACTGAACGGCCTCTTAGCAGCATTTGACGCTGCTGACCCTTCCATCCTCCCAGACACTCTCTTCTTGCTAGGTTTTTGTGACACTGCTGTCTCGCTGCTCAGTTTTCTCCGCTGGATTATCCTCCATATCCCATAAGGTATCTGATTACCTTGAAGAAATGCAATTCCCCGGGGACAAGCCAAGGAGGATCAAAGCGTGCATAATGGTAAGGTCAGAGCGCTAGCTAGCTATCTGCAATACAACTCTTGGAAGCACCTTCCCCCGGACTCCGGCCTTCTGGCCCTGGGCATGCTCAGTGGACTGGCTAAGTAGTGGAAACTGGCCCCCGCCTACCTTGGCTACGCGCGAGTGTAAAGCGCAGGCGCGGGAGCCCTGGAAGCCCGGGAGTTCTCGCTCAGCTAGTGGGTGAGAGGACTGAGCTGAGTGCGCGGCTCCTTGCCTTGGAGAGAAGATGGAGAGGTCCAAGCTGGAGAAATTCAGGAGTCCGAGCAGGGGAAACGGACTCCGGGCTCTGGCTCCGCTGCGGCCCGGGGAGCTGCTCTTCAGGTCGGAGCCCTTGGCTTACACTGTGTGCAAAGGGAGCCGGGGCTTAGTGTGCGAGCGCTGCCTATGCAGGTACGGGGCAAACTTGCTCACCTGTGTGTGTGAGCACCACACACATCACCAAGGATGCCGTGGTGGGGTTGGGCGGGGTGAGTGGGGGCACAAGGAAGGAGGCTGGAAGGGGCGCCGAATGCCCTGGCGGTGAGAGGCGACAAGGAGCTTGCCCTATACAAGGACAGTGGGAGAGGGGGACCTGATCCCAGCTACCAGGCTGGAGGCGGGACCACCTTTGACGTTCCAAGCCTTGGGCACCAGCCCACGTGTTTAAAGGGTTGCCATGGAGGGACGTGCGTGCTTGGGAGCCCATCTCTCCAACTCTGGCCTGTCTGCCCTTATCCCCCCTGTACCCAGGTCCTTGTTCTTCCTTACCACTAAGGTAGGGAGAAGGACATGTGTGAGGGCGGGCAGGTGGGGTTAGGGAGGTGGATTTCACCTGGGGAAGAGAGCGGAGACACCTTAGCTGGCAAGGGACGGGGGCGGGGGAGGGCGGGAATTAGGTAAATAGACCCACCCCGAAGGAGGAGCGGGCGCTGCGGATTGGGGGAGAGCCACCGGAGAAGCTTTCTGATTTGGGCAAGTAGGTTTGGGGAGGGGGGAAAAAACTCTGTGCCTGGAAGGAAGTGCCAGTAGTGGTGCTTG